ACAGGTGAAACTCGAATAATTAGAATATCGTGCAAAGTTCATTTATTTCACTAATGCAACTTAAAAGGTGAAACTAATATATGAGATAGACTCATTATATGCAAAGCAAGATAGTTCAAGCCGTGATTTGTCATAATTGTGATGATTATGGCTTACAGCTCATGAAAACCCCAAGAACCCCAAATCCACAATCTCAGAAAATGAGATTATTACATGCAATCAATAAAACAAGGATTGTACATAGAACAATATCGGACCTCTGAAAAGTACAAGCATGCATATGTACTCAGTACTTGGTTTGGGCCCCTTTTGCAGAACTTACTGCAATTACTTTTGCACGATATTCTAATTATTCGAGTTTCACCTGTATATATATTGTCCAGCTAAGTATTTCTTTTCATTTTTGTCAAGTTACAAGTATGATGTTTCCAAACAGCTAGCTCCAACTCTCAACTCAGCTTCACCGAACTTCCTGTCGATCACATAGGGCAACGCTGTCTCCAGCAGCTCTCCATCTACTAGCTTGGAAAAGGAAGGAGTAGCAGGGAGCAGGGAGCTGGGGAGTGACTTGCCTTGCTGTGTCTGTGTGTTTGTGGAGACGCACACAGCTTACTAGCACACTCAAGGGTGGCATCCATTGTAAGGGATTTAATCTGAAATAGCTTAAAAACTTTTTGAATTTAATATCACTTCACCAAAAGGCATGGGTAGGCAATCTGATAATTATGGCATTTCTAGAAAGACTGGTGTGTGGGTTATTGTTTTTATCCATGCATAAGCTCCTATTTGCTGATTAGACTCGATCAGGCCTATTTTAACAAAGCAGCAAAATTCACTGATGCCTGTGATGGTTAAAGTGTAGCACCTCTTTTTCTGAGGAAAAAAAATTCTCCATCAGTCAGTTACTGATATTGCAAACACGATAGCAAACATAAGAGTTATCTACTACCATTTGTATTTATACACATCGATTTTACCACTTCTTACTTCTTGGAACCACTTCCTAAGTTTTTCTTCTATAGTCACATGACTGGTCCAAGGTTAATAGTAATAATAAAAGTACAACTACTAAGAACAGCAGTGACCCAACAATGTAAGCATTACATTTCACCAGAAAGGTCATTTCTATTTACATTAAATTATAAAAACCCAATTATTTATGTTGTATCTATTTTTTTTAAAGAGATAGGTGCACTCCCACACTCCTCCCGCTCACCATCCTCTGCCTCAGTAATCAGTATGTAATAACATAAGATTACCTGCATCCAATACAGTTTTCATTTTAAGCCTTTCCTACTCTGTGTAATACCTGCCTTGGGAGAGGGTAAAACCCCGGCGTGGATCACAACTGCGGACGGAAGGTTTCCTATGAACGGGTATCAGATTAGCAGCTACTCCCAGAAGTGCCCAGTTTTGTAGAGTTAGGCGATTGGGAGGCTACGAAACATCATGCCCCGTTTGTGCAGTGGGATATGCGAGGGTGCACACCGACAGTGAATAGTGGGATCTGGTTAAATGGATAGCAATGCAATTGTTAGTGGAGATTTGTACAAACAGGTAATGGTAATCACTGGTTCATTGGATTGTAATGCAATGGTTAATGGAGATCTGTACAAACAGGCAGTAGTATTCACTAGTTCAATGGATAGCAATGTATCGATTTTCCCAGAGGTTAGTACGTAACAGTCAATAGTTATCCCAGGTTAACTGGTAGCAATGCAATGGTTACTGTAGATATGCACACAAGCAATCAATAGTCAGCATGGGTTCACATAGGGCAGGAGCATTGGCTCTGCCCACTACTCTGGAATAGCAAAGTCTACTTGCGGTTTTGGTCGCTGGAACAAGGGTGCTTAGAAGCACTGGGTCTCACGGCGTTGAGGCGAGTGGAGCGCTGAGTTGATCAGCGTCCTTCCACTACTAACAGAAAGACGCCGATCAACTACCGGACCACGGCTTTATGCCGAGTGCTGCGTCTCGAAGGGGCGGAGCTTCTCCCTGCGCCTGCGCCCGACGTAGACGGCTCTGAAGGGAGAGATGACGGAGGCCCGTGCTGCGCCTGCGCGAGGCGACTACGGAGAGCCGCACC